CGGGTCGTGGGTTCGATTCCCACGAGGTCCAACATATTTAAATTTAATTAATTTAAATTTTTCTGAAACATCGGACTTCGCCTGTAAATCTGGGTTTTAAATGGGTGATAAAAATATTGAAATTCACGAACAGGCTAATGCGTTTCGGTTTCTGTCTGTGAGTTTCCAAATATCCAAAGCCGAAACGGTCGACAGCACATCTTGATTAGATGTTGTGTGGTTGGGGTACTTCACCTACCATCAAGTAAACCGCCTGCTATCCGTCAAAAAAACGCGTTCATATGTCGTTTATAGAGCAACAATCGAATATCTTGCATTAGCTGTGACGTACATTAGCCTCTACAGATGGAAACTGTAAGGGTATGCATGTAGTCTGAAATCACTCCAGCTCTTAATCAGAGCCGATTCATCTGAAGATCTTCTCTATTTGCTTCGATAACAAGTCAACTCGTGACGCTTTGATGTCACTTGATTGCCTTTGAGCAAGTTTGAGAGTTATTTGAAAGCTTTTTCATTTTGTAACAGTACTGTAGTGTTTATGGCGAACTAGATGCTTTATTTAGGTCTTACTTGCAAGGCTTTAGTAGCTATTGCCTTGACTTACGTCTACTATACATAAATATAAGTACATAGAGAAAATCTTTGTGATCTTATATGAAAATATCATCCATACTCGCTCTTGTTGATTGTATATTATCTGTGGTCAAAAGATTATCGATTAATGAAACTAACAATATTTAACTGAATGATTAACAAAATCATAAAAAAATCTTATTCATATATCTTTCTCTTTATACGAGAGCATAAAGGTTATTTCACTTTATATCTCGTAACTATATAGTCTCTCCATGACCGCGGCTGCTGCAAAGCATCCGAAACGTCGGGCCGAAGTTAAAAATCATTTTCAAATAAGTTTAACTAATATGTCGCGTTTTAAACCGTTAAAGTGATTTATTTAAATATGTAAGCAACTACGATTTCGTGTAAACTATTGTTTGTTAAATACTGTCTGCAGTATACGCCGAGAAGCTAGACATTTAATTAAAACACTTTAACGGTTTAAAACGTATATATATAGTCAAACTTATTAAAATTTTTTTCGTGTTTCTACCGTAACCACTGCTACTGCAAAGCATCCGAAACGTCGTTCTGTAGTTAAAATATTTGTTTAAATAAGTTCAACTAATATATATTGCGTTTTAAACCGTTAAAGTGGTTTATTTAAAAATAGATATTTTATGTTTCCTCGCGCTGCAAGGGTTGACCATTATTGATGAAATTTTGTGTCACAACTACGTTGACTCAAATACAAAACAAAATTTTAAAAAGATGTTTTATTGTAACAACGTAAATAAGTACATATCTAATGTACAGAAGGTAACGTTATCATTAACGTATTACGTGAAAGTACTGCGGTGTAATACGTTTACGAATGAATAGACCGGTTCAAAGAACGGGTGTTTGGAACGTGCCACGAAAAAGCTTTAAAAAAGTTTCGCGTTTTCTGCTCGACTGATCGAAAACATTGTTCAAGTGACCGAAAGACTTTATAACCGAGCTACATAGTGTTAGGGACGAATAATACCAATGCCACCTTTTCTTTTATCGCGATTTCATAATTTTCTGAAAGTACGATGATTATTTTTAACATGATAAAGTAAAAAAGAAATATTTTCATTAATATGAGCTTGAAGAATTTCGATATTCCTACCACCTATGTAATATCCTAAATTTTCAGCTGAAGTCCAATGTGATTCAGAAAAATTCTATATTTATTATATAAATTGGTTTTTGGAAACCTTCTGTTCTATAAATTTAGACTGTTGCCCACGAAGTCGTCTGCGTCCCGTCGTTCGTGCAAGTTAATCTTAAAAAATTTACTGTCTCAGAAATTTTCTTATATTTAAAGTAGAATCATTATTATTTACATATTTTTGGGTATCCTAAACCGTTTCGCGTATCGGAAGCAACGGAAACTCACAATGATGAATAACTTTTCCCGTTTTTTCCACATTTCCCGCTGTTTCTCCGCTCCTATTAGTTGCAGACCAAGTTGTGAAGCCTATTGCCTTCCTCCAGTAGTCATGTGTTGGTTAAACAGACGAACAACAAAAGTAATTTTTCGATTTTGTAACCAAAAGTTCATGAGAATAGTTCATAAAACGTACATACAAACGACAATACCTTCTTTAGATTTCTATTCTATATTTCAAGTACGGTACTGTAACAAGTTTTAATGCATCAAATACGAGGCTGGTGAATCGGCAAGTTAACAAAGGGTTTGCCCTTCAATCAATTCGAAATGGGCTTTCAGGTAGCTTAATTAGGACCGTGGTGCAATTTGGGACTGTGTGCGAAGTTCAAACTGGACTGGCAACATTTTAGTTACATAGCAGGTGACAAAGGATTCAAACTGTATATAGCAGACCTTTTACAAATTCTATAGTTTTTTTTAATGAGGAGGACAGGCGCATATATATGGCGATATACTACAGCCTATAGCATCTACACAAGAAGCGTTGTCGACCTATTTTGGATATTCGGAAATCCAAAGACTGCAACCGAAACGCGATTAACCTTTTTCATCTGTGGACGGTGGTTTGTGACCTGGTCAGAATTTTTACATTCCTACCACCCAAATTTAAAGTATCAATATGTTTTAGAAAATTATAAATTGAAAAATTTTAAATATGTTGGCGGTACTTACAATAAATTGTATGCAAGATAACATTTGGTGTATCAAACCGTTAAAATTGTCTTATTCAAATATGTGCTTCTCACGAAAATTACAGACAATACTTAATAATATGTATATATAATTATGAAGTAAGCCACTCACTATATACATATACTTTGAATTATTTTTATAAATCTCATTTTAAGTGACTTACGAAAACAAAATCTCCACAAAAACGTTTAAGGTTATACTGCCAGTAATTTAGTTCGCAGCTTTGAAAGTACGTGATATTTATGTAGCTGAAATGTCGTACAGACAGATTTCATATTATCAGAAATAACAATTAAATATTGATTTATTTAGGAGTGAACATTAGCACTTTTCAAACAGTTATAGCATTATAGTTATATTAAGGATAATCTGTTATGTGTGAAAATCGTAAGATTAGATGAATACTGCACAAATCCAGGTGAAATTCATACACCCGTTGGTGAAACATCTAGAAAATTATTACTCCCGGATTATATACTTTGGAGTTTTCATTCCCGGGAATATTTAGGAGGGGAACTTATGTATGTCGTAGTGAAAAGGTCGATTTTGTCAAATCAACATTGACTTGAATTTTAATTTGATGTTCACTAGTAAATATTAAAAGAATAGCTGCTATAATATAAATAAAATATTTTACACTTTATATTATACACATATAGTACACTTTTTAAACATGTTTAAAGATAAGCAAGTAATCGTGATTAATAATAAATTTACTTTAATAAATTGTAAACCAGTAGGTATTATTGTCCGCTCCCCCATGGCTGGTGCAAAGCGTCCAAAGCTTTTCATCGTAGTAAAGATGTCGTCGTTAATTATCGTGTTAAATCGTTAAAAGTTTTATTAAAAAAGAATGCATCATACATATACATTATAAAGAATAGATTACTAACCACTATTGCGGCTTAAATTAGTCCCAAGTTCAGGTTCCTATGTAGCGAGGATACATGAGATTAATAGGAAACATAGTAATTTGTATATCCCATGCCTCACCAAACCATCCATTATTATTTATATACTTTATTTCATGAAAAAATAGAAAACCATATTATTTTAATATACGACTAGAATTAATGCAAAATGCCTAAATACCAGTTAGATCTACAGCATGCACATATTCGGAATAAATCCGTGGAAAATATGACGCGTAGAGGAAATTTAAAACGCTCTTTTTATGTGCTTTATCTGGGTGTTATATGCTTCAACATTACTCGACCGCGACAAAATAAAGAATGATCAAAATAATAAAACATTCATTACGTTTTTCTATTTATGATTGGGTGTTTATTAAGACTGTGTTTGAATATTAAAAAAAGACAAAAATGATATATCATTGCCTGTAGTTACGTAAGTAGTACATATTTTAACGGAGACCGCGAAATGATTTATTAGCACCACCTATTTTGTCGTAGTTTTTAGTAATAAATTTGACTATATAACATTAGGGACACCCTCCATCCTCAGCCCACCCGTGACCACGGCAGTTGCAAATTATCCAAACCATCAACCGTGTGAATAAGTAAACTAATATATTTCGCGTTTAAGACCGTTAAAAGTTTTTAAACATCAGTTCCATTATGTATACAATTTGATATTTAATTGCAGAATCAACTTAGTACTTAAACAAATTGCCTGAAATATACACCGGTAAAAAACAAGCATTAAATTTTATTTGTCGAAAAAATAGAAGAAAATGTTACTTAAATATATGTAGTCATTCTTCATCGACTTTAAACTATAGCATACGATTATATGTCTAAGCACCAAGTACCGAACCAACTTTTTAATGTCTTATTCAGGCTGTAAAGAACAGCTTAACTAATACAAAGTAAACAAACATTGTAGCACTCTGTTGATGAAAATAAAAACGCTACGGCGTAGCATAACGCTACGCGTAATGTTCTCGTAGCAGATCGTAACCATAAACTTCAACAAAACACATTATATTATGTTAATCTGTTTTTGCATATTCATATATTATGATTTATACTTGATAAAAGGAAATCTAATACATTATAAGAAAAGATCTAAAAAGTTATAAATGCACCTATAAATCCCCCTTTCCCCCCATTTTAGGGTATTTATCTGTTATACTTATTTGTAACTGTAATCTGATATACATAATTTTGATAACACGTCCGGCATCCGATCTGACCAAAAATATTGAAGTTACTCAGATCTCATAGTTCCCGAGATTCGAACTCAGTGCCCTCTTTTGTTATACAATAAGTCAGTACATTCAATATTATACTATAGTAAAAAGTTTGTTATTATGATTATGATAGGGAATTTTAATAAAAGCTCCTTAGTTCAGTATAAAAGACGTATCCTTATCACAAAGCTCGGAGCTAATAGTTTAGAACACGAAATGTCAACAGCCCACCGCTGGGACGGCGCATGTGTTGACAGTTGTCACGCATGCGTGCTAGTGACGTCACGCGAGGTGTCAGAATCGCGTGTCAGTCGCGCCGGCAACACACGCCAAGCAGCCGCGTCGCCGCGCCTCGACGCGTAACCGCGAAAGCAGAAACACTCCACAATGCACATCGCCCACTTATGATACTTCGGCGAATTTCGTGTATTTAGTTCAGATTTTTTTAACGTGAATAGTGGTTTCGTGAATTTTTATAAATAGTTAATATATCGCCAGTACAAAGTTTAATTCATTGCCTTGCCTCTATTTAGATATAGCTTTTGAAGTATAGTTAGGCGCGCTAGTTAGATCTTAGATTAGGTATCCGAGAGATTTTTACAATAAAATAATAATATATAAAACATTACAAATGTCGTTGATTTGTGGAGGTGAGTGCTCTTTGCTCATGCCGTGAGATTGCTGTATTAATTGCTCCGAAACTAATCCAATTCGTACTAATGTGAAAACGAAACGGTCATTCATTAGTACAAATATTTCATATCACTTAACACAGTTATACTAACTACTTCATAATAAATCATAAATAATTCATAAAACAAAAAAATAATATTCATTTTTCTATACAACTCATAGAAGTAAGCGTAACGCAAAATATAATTACAAAGATCTAATATACAAATATATAGTAATCATATTTTTTACGACATTCAACATATAAAAATCATTGTTTAATATGAAGAATGATAAAAAGAAAAAACAACACAAACACACAACTGCGTTTCCTTAATAATAATATTCCGTTACATAAAATGCAATACTTTTACTGTTTTAAACACAAAATGTATGTTTTTATTTACGACTAGACTATTCCCGATAACTTTATTATCTTTTACATGATAAATAATTATTATTGTATAAAATACTATGCCTATTAAATAACACTATAAAAATACAAAAAATAATCAGCAATTAAAATGATTTAAAAATATAAATATGGCGTGATAAATGATTTATAAGAATTACTAAAAATAGAAAATAAATGTAAATTTAATAACTGTAATTTTACATATGTTACTATTAAATCATTACAATTATCACAATAAATAGCATATATGAGAGCTTACATAAATGAAACGTTATTAATTTTCAAACAAAAACAACGCCGATGGTCTTCGCTTCGAGTGCCGCTAGATAATGTTTCCCATAATAATTAAGTATTACATATTTTGTTTATAAAATAAATATTCGTCACATGAACAACGGATTAAAACGGAAATTTTGTGTTACGAACACAAAACGAACATGTTTAATAAGTACAACTAGATAACATTTGAAATTGCTCACAAAAGATTTACAATGCCCATAATTCATTCGAACGAGACTGCTAATTTTAGCATACAATAAATATTAATCTACGATTTTGAAGTGCGAATGTGGTTAATTTTGGTGGCTCCAAAACAAAACAATGCGGTGCGTGTTCTCATTGTTTCATTAGACTTGTTTGTTTATATTTTGTTAAGTCTGTATTAAATGCAATTTGTATCGATTTAATATTCGAAAAATATGTGGTATAAGAACGGATAACATAACATTAAATAACTGATAATTGACACGTTTTAATTCGGTAATTTTGAAATTGATAATTAATTTTGAAAAGTTATAATAGCATAGAATATTGATATGTTTCTGTGGAAGCTAAAAAGCGATAGTGCAAAGTGCAAGGGACTGAAAACCGTATAAAAATATTAACGGTAATTTTTCGCGTTTTAACCCGCTAATTTTGAATTTGATCATTATTTTAAAAAGTTATGATATCGTATAATATTAATACGTTTTTGTGGGAGAAAAAAGCGACGGTGCAAAGTGCAACAGACTGAATTCCTTATAAAAATAGACTTCACTATTTCTGTTAAAAAATTCTGGCACCATTCCTTACGCATTCTATTTTCTTGTTAAATCGCGTCCTAATTTGTTAACATCCGCAATATATCAAATTAATACAATTTTTTATGTTAGTAATTAATAATTGGCAGGATTATATAGAATTAAAAATCAAAAATGAACTTTTAAAAATTCCGACTCAGACAGGACTTGAACCGGCATTGTCAGTCAGCGGTTCGTGTTGAGTGCTAACCAATTGAGCTACCGAGTCATTAATTTAGTCGAGAATATAATTCAGTTTTTTAAAATACAGTTTTGCCTAATTCACTATTAGCAAGTATTTGCTACTTGCTAATTAGGACAAACCGAAACGCCCGTCATTAATCAAACAAGGTGACACAAAAACTAAATGCTAGTAAAAATTAGTTATCAACTGTCGGGAAATAAAATGCGTCATTAACCAATCTTACCGAGAGATGTTATCGGCTCCTTTGATCTTTATAAAGTTGGTGAAACGCTGACCGGAGTGGAGAAGTTGTGTTAGATGTTTTGGTGTGAGTTGAAAACGTATTTATGTGATAAGTGCCTTTATAATAATAAAGCGAATATTTCATAACCGACTTTAGATAGTGTAAGAACAGGTTTCGTGGCGTAATGATTAAACGCGTTGCATTGGCGTTTGAAACCCGGGAAAACAATGAATAGTTTCGGTTTGAAAAATCTCTACTTTAATCCGATCATGAAATAGTAATAATCTAGTTGTTCGGGTTCAAAGGATATTTGCAAAATTTCATTAAATTCGGCCTAGCAAATTTTGTTCAATAAACCAATAACATCTGGTTATAGTTAATCTGCGTTAAAAATCATCAAAAGTGTATATAAGGATGATTTTTTTATGTACGATTTTTTTTAAATAGTTTTATTACAGTGACTAAGTACATTGTTGTAAATTTAAAGTGACAAGTCTGACAGTATCTTGTATTTACAAATTTCCGTTAAATTACAAAACAAATGATAATTCTAAATCTACGATACCAAACAGTAGTTTTTATAATTTTAAAGTATGAAACCCCCTATTTCTCTTTATGTGGGTGCAGTGTGCGGACATTTTCATGCCTGTTACTCTAATTGATTGGCTATTTCATTGGACAACATATACGCTTAACGTAATGCTAGAAACGAAGCCCCAAGTGCCGTCAGAAAACAGATAAACATCCTTTAAATTAGATTGTAGTAATTTTATGACACGGGCGTGAACTGAGCCGGCTTCCACAGCGCTCGGTGGTGCTGCTCTAATCAACTACGCTACCATATCCTACTGTCTCAATTAGTGGCCAAGCACAGGAATTTTTAATCTAAACAGATTTTGAAGTTAAAAATCCCTTAAATCAACTAAATTTTATAATATTCAAACGACTATCTATAGTTTAGGCGAGTAGTACACATTAAAAAATAACACTTTAAAGGTTTAAAACGCGATATATTAGTTAAACTTATTTGAAAATGATTTTTAACTCTCCCCGTGTCCTCGGCTGCTGCGAAGCATCCGAAACGTCGGGCCGAAGTTAAAAATTATTTTCAAATCAGTTTAATTAATATATCGCGTTTTAAACCGTTAAAGTGTTTTATTTATATGTGTACTACTCGCGTAAAATACAGACAGTATTTAAATTTTATTATTTTAGTGAGTACACACAAAAAGGTTTGGTAAAACCGAAGCGGAACAACGAAAAATTGTAAACAGACTTAATCTTTAAGCTATTACCAGCAGTTTTCACATCCGAACACACGAGGCGGTGCTAAAAGCAAATCGATGTATCGCACATAAATCTTCACAATCGCATTTTCATTATAGTGTAAAGTGCGGAAAATCACATTGTCATTTTGAATGAAATAGCTGGTTTAAAACTGTTGTGTATTCACACGGCTGAGCATTTCCGCAGACCTACAGTGTAACGAATATTTATCGGAAAACACGTATGTATACTATGCGTAGCTTACGCGAGTAGTACAGTTAAAATAATTGTTAGATAAGTGTAACAAATATATATCGCGTTTTAAACGTATTGCCCAGCATTGCGTTAAGCGCGGGCGCTCCTGGGTTCGAATCCCAGGGAAACAATTTTTTTTCGGTCGGGCAGGGCACAGAAGTCTGATCAACTACTTGCCCGTTAAAAAATAGATCAGTGAGCCAGACGAAGAAATGTGTTAGCCCCAAGCCCCACGAGCGTTTAACCATTCAGCAATAATCAAGTTTTGGGCCAATATTATAATGTTACTATGTTATACAAATGTAATACAATATTATAATGTAACTATAATGTGATATTGATATCACTATATTTTGACATAATCTCAGCTGGTCAACGGAATTTTAAACATCTTCATCTAAGCACCGTAACACATCCTCTCCCGCTTCTAGTGCACAACAATCTTCATATAACAGATGTGAAATTGCTTTATAACTTGCGGAGAAATTCTTCTCTTAATTCTTATAAGCTTGAAGTTGCCGAGAAATTTGAAGCATATTCTTTAGTTTTTAGTTAACATTATTATTTATTGAATATATGGTAAACATACAAGGCCAAAACCAGCATCGATCAGTAGCTTGGTACAATAGTTCAATTCGTAAGGGAAGGGTACACGTGGCTTCGAAGGTCAAACAACTATTAATACGTTTTTAATTTATGTAAGCTCATATATGCAAACAATAAAAATAACACAATAATAAAAAAAATGCAAACAAAAAATGAAACGAAATAAGAACTATACAAAACTAAGACTAACTATACAAAAAAGGCTTAAAATTTAACAAATTCACCTATAACAGGTGTCAATCAGCACAACGTTACAAACACGATTGTGTTACAATACTGATTTTCAGTAACTAACAAATATGCGTTAAAAAGTATGAACAAAAATAACAACTGTGACGAAACTATTCCACAACAAACACACAAATAAATCTAACATGACTTAATATTTCATCTTAATTACAGACAAAGCAACAAACATAAGATTTAAATAAAACACGACGGTTTAAAACGCGATATATTAAACTTATTTGAAAATTAAATACTGTCTGTAGTTTAAACGAGTAGTACACAAATAAATAAAACACTTTAACGGTTCAAAACGCGATATATTTTCCTTAACCTTGTTAAAAATGATTTTTAACTACGGCGCCACGTTTCGGATTCTTTGCAGCAGCTGTGGTCACGGGGAGACAAGAAGGAGAATTTCAACCACGTTGAACTAAA